CCTGTGACCGACTCAAAGGCCCACTTATACCATTGAAATATTTTTTGTGTAAATAGGCCTTTGAATAGGGATCTACAGTACATGCTGAATTTTGATTTATAGCCATGTCTAGACTTAATTATGTGTTGATAATTATTCTTAAACATCATCCAAAAATTCAAATTAAATAATTATAATTATAAGTATGTCGCTAAATGGGAGAAATAGAGATAAACAGATCAATTTGTTAATGCTGATCATTAGTAGGGCCCTGGCCTGTTTCACCACATCCTTCCATTCAGACATCATCATCATAGGTGCTACAGCCCATCATAGTGGCCTGGTCTGCTCTACAACATCCTCCCTTTTAAGCTGATCCATGACTTTACACTTCCAGGTGATTTTAGTCCTTTACAACTCAATCCATATCAGTCTTGGTCGACGGATGAGCCGTTAACCCCTATGCTTCTGTCTGTAAATCACTTTTGCTGCTCTACAATCTAATATCCTCTCAAGGTTTCTTGCCCAAAGCAGCCTGCACATTTAAATTGCAGCAACTACGGATGGTTCCGGTACTGAAAATGTTCATTAGGAAATTGCATCAGCGGGCTGTCGAGCTAGTACATTAGCTCTTTATGCCCTCCCCAAAGCACACACACCCTCACTCCCCAAGCCTGAGTTATCAGGCTGGGTAGCGGAACGTTGGAGATTTCCCTTTGCCAGGACAGCCCCAGCCCGCACTCACTCCATTGACTACCAGTGGAGGTCACCCCAGCACAAGGACATCCGGTAGGCCGGTGATGCTTCTCTCACAGCATCAGGAGTCGGGATTGTGTATTTACATCCTAAAATCTTACTCTTAATCTTACATCCCTGGGAACGCCCGACGCTGTCAGATACAGATTTCTACAGTGGGTTTCTACCTTGAAACTAATTTACGAAGCAGCTGGGACGAAACGGTTGCCTATGTACAACTACTTTAACTGCTATGTAAATAGAACCATCTCATGCCTCATATCCTTAAAGGGCAACATGTAATCATGCTCCCTATCCTGTTTCTGCCGTTTTATTTCCAGCTGCAGATTTTCCACAGCTGGTAGCCCTTTAAGTGCTTCCATTTTCGGCAGATACTATCCACACTCTTTGTCTGCCAGCACAGGCTCATGCAATAATGGTGGTTTTGGTCCCAGTCTAGCGCTAGGGGACAGCACCTCTTTAGCCAGCAAGCCACTACAAACTTGTCAACCAGAGCCCGAAGGGATATATATACCCATCCGTCATTATCTAACACTGGACTGTATATTTTTCGGGAGGATTTTCCAGGTATTGAACAGGTAAAGTTGTGATAGGGCCATCGTAGTTTTCTTTGAGAGATTTCTGCTTCCTAGTTTTAGCTCATGTGGCCGAAATAAGAAGAATGGCCTGCTTTTATACTTTCTTTCATCTCTGTCATTATTTCATCTGTCTCTCTCGCTCACTCACTCTCTCTCTGGTGTGCTTGTTTACTTTGATTTTGTCACCTGTGTGTCTGATACGTGACATTAACATACACTTTGTATTCGCTTCATTTACCTTTATAGGTAACTCTTCTAATTCATGGAATGCTTAAATTATATCAATGCTGCTTCTCCCAGGTAAAGCTATGTTGTCTGCATATGCCAGGTACTGCACTGGTTCGGCTTTTTAACGTTGGTTGGTGTCCTGGTGGTTGAGATTCTGATACGTTGTTTGTGATAGTTCATCCTGTGCTCACATGTATGTTTCTCTGGAAGTTGTTTGTGATAGTTCATTTGGTGCGCAAATGCATGTTTCTCATAATGCTTTCTAAAGGGATGTTAAATAGGATACATGCCAGTGAGTGTCCTTGACTCAGTGGCCCAGATTAATATGAAAGTTCCTCAAGTACTCATCCTGTACTTTGATTCTTTTTTGGAGGTAGCCATGGTCATGTATAAACCAGGTAAGTTTGTTAGAAACTCCAAGTTTCTATAGTACTCCAAGTTTCTATAGTAAGTTTCTATAGTTAGAAACTCCAAGTTTCTATAGTGCACTTTGCAGATATTTCCTGTCTAAGCTGTTGTGTAGTCCACATATAGTTGGTGTATGGGGA